GCCCCCGCCCCCTCCGCCCGGGCCCCCTTCGCTCTGCCCCCGCCCCCCCGCGCGGTGCCCGGACGCGGCGGCGCCTCCGCGGCGCGGGGTCGGGGGTGTCTGGCCCGGACGCGCAGGCAGGGCGACAAGTGGGCAGCGCAGCCTGCCCGGCGCCGCTCCGCGCCTCCCCCGCCCCGTTCGGGGACCCCGGCTTCTCCCCGCTGCGGTCGGTCGCGGCGATTTCGCATCCCTTCGAGTTTGCGAGTTCAGTTCCCCAAGGCTGAGAGCAGTGATTTCCCAGAAGATGAAAGAGGGGTGTGTGGAGAAGGGGGCGGGACGCGGCCGGAGTGGATGGGGGTCGCTGCGGCGCCATGACCCTGGATGTGGGAGAGGTCGCGGGAGAGCTGGGGCTGGAGAGGAGGCTGAAGTGGTCAGCAGGGCAGAGTCTGATGAGGACCGACATGCCCACTGCACTTGGAAGCCAGTAGGTCGCGGGGACCCTGGGGCGCGGGGACTTGAAGGCCCGCAGGGCGAGGCCGGACGGGGCTTCAGGGCAGTGCCTGCTGCGAGTGTTGACACCTCTGTCCAGACACACGGCAGTGAAGGGTAGAGATGGGCCTTGTTTTCGAGCCACAGACAGGCGCGAAGGCCCAGGAGAAGGATGCGTTAGAGGGTGGGCCTGGCACAGCGAGGCGCGCCCGGTACCCTCTTCTCCGTCTCTCCGTTTTGTTCGGGGCACCACCCTCCCCAAGGCGCTGACCTCAGGCTGCCGCGGGGCTAAAGAGGAGCCGTCTCTGAAAACACCCTCCCCGGCACTTCTTCTGATGCTGTCCATCTCTCGTTTGTCTTTCTTTTCTTCGGCGGATATTTTTGGGACATCTGCGCTGCTAGGTCCTTGGGAAAATGAGGGGGAACAGTCAGGTCAGCATCTCTGTCCTCTTCCAGGCAGGTGGGGCCCAGACGATCAAAGAGGCCAGGGGATGTGCCCTGTGTTGGACGCAGTTAGAGGCTGTGGGGAAAAATTAAGCCCCAAAGGGGATGGGGCATTCGGAGGTGGTTCTAAATTAAAGTGTGTCAGGGCGGGCCTCACTAGGAAAGTGCCAATTGAATAAGGACCTGAAGAAAGTCAGGGAGCCAGGCAGACATGTATGGAAAGAGCACTGTGGGTAGAGGCTCCCAGCAAGTGGAGAAGACCAAGCAAGTGCAGCTGGGGGGAGAGCGAGGGGCGAGAAGTCAGAAGGAGACGGATGGGCAGGGCAGGCAAGACTCCATAGACGCCTGCCATTCTGGATGTGCCACCTGGAAGTGCAGCCTGAGGACAAGCCTCTCAGAGAAGGCTGAGCACAGAGAGGGGAGGGGTGTGAGCTCCCGTGCCCTTGTTGAGCGCCTGCGCCACTGACCCTGGAGCTCCTGTCCACTGTTTAAGTCCACTCACGCTGGCATTTCTGTTTCTTGCCTTCAGAGGCAGCCTAACACAGATAATTCTCTCTCCGGAACCCAATCATCTCCCCCTTCAAGGGGTTTTAGTTGCAGGCTTCTTGAGAATTTATCGCC